TAATTAATAAGGCTGCTAACTAGCTATTCATTTGTTTTCAGAGTGGTGTAAACAAACTTGCAGACCTTGTTGGTGTCACCCTTGGGCCCAAAGGCAGAAATGTGGTTCTTGAGAGCAAGTACGGTGCTCCAAAAATTGTCAATGATGGGGTTACAGTGGCCAAAGAGGTATGAAGATTACAATACTGAACTGTTAGTATTTATGTTCCTTCTGGATAGGCATTGATTATGAGAATCGGTGTTGATTACTTTCTTTCATAAAACATGGGTATTTGTTACGTCATATTTGTCGTTTATACTTACAGTATTTGTAGTATTTGTCTCTGGTGAAGATTTAGATACTGTTTGGACTAGATAAAAGAATGTTCTTGGTGATTCTTTGTAGGTCGAGTTGGAGGACCCTGTAGAGAACATTGGAGCTAAATTGGTAAGGCAAGCAGCTGCAAAGACCAATGACTTGGCTGGAGATGGGACAACAACATCTGTTGTTCTTGCACAAGGCCTTATTGCTGAGGGTGTTAAGGTAAATGGGGCGTCTTGCGATGGCTATCTCTAAGTGTGATGTGCAATAACATACTTATTAACTTTTAAATTGTGTTTTAACTCTTCAGGTGGTAGCAGCTGGAGCTAATCCGGTTCTGATCACTAGAGGAATTGAGAAAACTACCAATGCCTTAGTGTCTGAGTTAGAATCAATCTCGAAAGAGGTATGTTGCTCTTCCTTTGGATTTTATTTAATCATTTAATAGTGAATATGTGATGAGTTACGATTTAATACCCAAGATTTTTATTGCAGGTGGAAGACAGTGAATTATCAGATGTTGCAGCAGTAAGTGCCGGGAATAACTATGAAGTAGGGAATATGATTGCTGAGGCACTTAGCAAAGTCGGTAGGAAAGGTGTTGTGACTCTTGAAGAGGGCAAAAGTGCAGAAAACAGCCTGTATGTTGTTGAAGGAATGCAGTTTGATCGTGGCTATATTTCTCCGTACTTTGTGACTGACAGTGAGAAGATGGCTGTTGAATATGAGAACTGCAAGGTAGGCATTTTTTATTCCCTCAAAACAAAAATTATAGATGTGATTTAGACAGGTGAAACATTTGTTTGTTGTTATTTACCTTACATTTTTATATTCCTTTTGTTGTTTAGTTGCTGCTTGTTGACGAGAAAATAACCAATGCAAGAGATCTCATTAATGTGTTGGAAGATGCCATTAGAGGTAGTTACCCCGTTCTAATTATTGCTGAGGATATTGAGCAAGAAGCTCTCGGGACCCTTGTTGTGAACAAGTTGAGGGGCGCACTGAAAGTTGCTGCCCTCAAAGCTCCTGGATTTGGTGAGAGGAAGAGCCAGTATCTCGATGATATTGCAATTTTGACCGGAGGTAAATTTTTGTTCATTCTTCTCTCTCTCACTGGCCGTGAATTCTTTCGTGGTTAAGTGGCAGTCACACTATTATATGTCCTTTAATGGTAATTGGCAGTCATATTATTATGTCTTTGTTATGTTTGCATCCGTTTGTACTATTCTGTTTGAGGAGTCATTTTCTTATGTTTCTGACAGAGATTTCTGAATACAGGAACTGTGATAAGAGATGAGATTGGGCTGACTTTAGACAAGGCAGACAAAGAAGTTTTGGGTAATGCTGCCAAGGTTGTGTTGACGAAGGACTCCACAACAATAGTTGGTGATGGCAGCACTCAGGAAGCTGTTAATAAACGTGTTGCCCAAATAAGAAACCTTATTGAGGTGTGTCTCTTTGCTTTTAATTGCATTGATGCATGGATATTGGACTGTGTTTTCTTCTCCGGGGCCTGAGCAGTTGCATCATTTCTTGAGCAGGTTGCAGATCAAGATTATGAAAAGGAAAAGCTGAATGAAAGAATTGCAAAGCTATCTGGAGGTGTTGCTGTTATCCAGGTGATTTTTTACATTTATGTTCACTTCTTATCATATGTGCATGGGTGAATGTTTCTTTTTAAAAATCATCTATATGATTATATATATTTTGACATCTTAAAGGTTGGAGCTCAAACTGAAACAGAGCTGAAAGAAAAGAAACTCAGAGTAGAAGATGCTCTCAATGCAACTAAGGTTAGCCATGTGATTCAAGCTTTCTAGGCATCAATTCTTTTGGCTGCTATGGAAAACTGTGTTTACTAATATGAAATATTCATCCTTTTGCAGGCAGCTGTTGAGGAAGGAATCGTGGTTGGAGGTGGATGTACATTGTTGAGACTTGCATCGAAGGTCGATGCTATCAAGGAAACTCTTGAAAATGATGAGGAGAAGGTAAAGATTCTTGTTGAATTTTTTACGTACTAATTGATGACGAGATATTTGATGACATGGGTTTTGGTATTCCCTACTTAAGGTCTTTACTCTGTTTTAGGTTGGATTTTTCGTTGGTGATTATGATTGAGCGGGTTATTTTGGGTGCAGGTTGGAGCAGACATTGTCAAAAGAGCCTTGAGTTATCCATTGAAATTGATAGCCAAGAATGCTGGTGTTAACGGTAGCGTTGTTAGTGAGAAGGTTTGTGGAATTCTTGGTCTCATGTAAAATAATTGATGAATATTATTACATATTAGAGACTGACTATTAATTCGTTCTTTGCCTTTGGTTAACTTTCAATTCACTCCTTAGGTGCTATCAAGCGACAACCCAAAATATGGATACAATGCTGCTACTGGGCAGTATGAAGATCTCATGGCTGCTGGAATTATAGATCCGACTAAGGTTAATAATATTTTTTTTTGGCTACTCTATTAACATTTTTCTCGAGTTAGTTTTTTT